TATCCAAATGATGCAACATATGTTCATTTGTATTAACACACCATTACGCCCTAAGGTGACTCACAATAGAGTAGTGGAGGTAACAAAAGGGTTAGTAAGTAAACCTCTGGATAATATGACTATGAGCATAAAATGTGATCAGGGTACGTTATGCTGAGAAAAGTCCTTTGAAAAACAAACCTGTTCTATTCCCACTTTCGTTTTTCCCAATCCTGATTGCTTCAGGCTTCAGGGGCAACATGAACTCCCGAATTTGTTGCTATGAGGACAAACACAAAAGATGATATTTTTGTTAAATGAAATATACAGAACTTTTAAAAGTGGAATATCTTCACAGTAACTTTGAAACCGGGACGCTGTTGTTCACTCACCTCCTTCACGTTGAACGGGGCTCCTCTTAGCTTCACTGTAAATTCTGTTGTCGGCTCCATCTGCAACAAACAGGTGTGAGTGTAAACTAGAAAACCAACAATGTCGTGAATTAAACAGCTTTGTTTAACGTGTGTATTTGAACAGTCACCTCTTGCTTGGCCGTTTTCTTTATTTTGCTTTGCTTCTCATCCCCAGAGGAAACTAAGGTTTTGGTCTTTGAGAGGTTTTCTTTGTCACCGCTCTCATAGGCGCTGTCTGTGTGCTGCGCAGGAACACCATCATCATCATCTTCATCCTCCTCTTCACCATCTTGCTTCTCCTTACTCTCCTCCATGGTGTCCTCTGTCTGTGCCACCTTTGAGCGCAGATAATCCATGTCTGATAAGCCAGACTTCAGTGCTTCTTTATTGGCACCTGAAAGCAACACAAATATGGAGATCGGTCAATCACACACACGTTTTTTTCTATGCTTGTTATGTGTAGCATTTGTCATATAGGATCAACTGGATTGTCATTGGGAACACACTTACAGTTTATAATAATCTGATGCAGCCTCATTTACATTTTCTCTACTTTTATTTTAGCATTTTCTATTGAATGCACAGTATTGTACTACTACTTTATCTGACAGATTGTGTACCTGCTATATCATAAAAGTATACATTAACTCGTTTTTTATGGAACTACATGCAAATCCAGACTTCAGAGGATCCAGCCCCTAAATTAGAACACACCTTTTATTTGCCTAGACTAAGAAGTCATTACTAACCTTCAGCTTCATCCTCTTCTTCCTCCTCCTTCTCCTCCTCCTCCTCTGACTCGTCTGAATCAAAGTTAAGGTAATCATCAGAAGCAACCTTTTTCTTGCTCTGAGTCTTCACCACTGCAGCATCAGGATCAGTTTGCAGCTGCTGCATAGTGTCATTGGACCAGGTCGGTGCTTGGCTTCGGTTCTGATGTACCGACAGAAACTCCTTGAACCCCTGGTCCTCTTCCAGCTGAGACACACGACAAGTAGACATGTAATGATTACAACTTGCATAAACAAACGACAACAAAGAAAACTGTACACACTTAGTGTCTCTTTCCACTATAACTGTGAGATATTGGCATGGTCAAATGCTCAAAAAGGATTCTCTTTTAAAAACAGAAAAACTGTCATTTGTCACTTATTATAACAATTATTTAAGTTAGGTCAATAATGTCATTATGTCAATATTAAACAGGTTTTAGTGAGGCTGATTTAGACCTGGGTGTAAATATAACAACTTCAAGGAGATTTCTGCACTTTGTGGTTGGTAACCAAAGAAGTATTGATGTTTATTATGTATGATTGACAAGGAGCTTGAGTTTGGTTTCATCATGTCCACATTCAGATGTTGAATAATGAACATTTAACCGAAGACAAACATAGAAGCTGATACTTTTACTCACAATTTCCAGGGTGCTGTTGGTTTCCTTTTTCTGTTTATTTTTCTAAAAGGCAGACACAAAAATAAGGTTTTACGGGATAGTGTTGCAGAACAGTTTAATATACATTATACTTTTTTAAATCTTCATATGATTTGTATGTAAACATTGTACAAAGTATAAAGAATCCGGAAGAGATGTCAAATTGTTTTGTATGTGGTTATTGTTTTTCCTTGTGATGATAATACTTTCTTCCTGGTGTGTGTACCTTCTTGCTGTCTGAGTCAGCAGGGGTGGAGGGTTTTTCGGGGGCTGAGCTCTGGGTGTGTTTGCTCCAGGCTTTGGCTTTAGTGGGGTCTCCAAACACCTTACACATCTCCACCTGGAAGACATGAAAACCACAGTGTTTACTGTTCACATGTGGAAAACAAACAGTCACAGTCAACACGCATGGTCAGCAGAGCTAAGTACATTTACTTAAGTACTGTACCTAATTACAATTTTGAGGGTTGTTTCCATGATATGCTACTATATATTTCTACTCCAGTACTTTTAAAAAGGGAAATAATATAATTTGACTCCACTACATGAATTTAACAGCTTTAGCTACTTTTAAAAAGTAGCGTCTCTAAAAATTAAACTAGTGGACTAACTGTTTAAGTCACAAAAGAGTCAAATCATTTAAAATATTTTACAAAAAGTCCATCAGAACTTTGTTTCTCTACTAAAGTAAAATGCTACTTGATGCAACAATATTATCTCTTAATGTCACTTATATAATATATAAATATAATTATATAAATACAGAAAGGCAATTGTTCTGCACAATGATTACTTTGACTTGTTATACTTTAAGTACATCTTGCTGATAATACTTCTGTACTTTGACTTAAGTAAGTTGAATGCAGTACACTCTGGTACTTCTACTTAAGTACAAGATCTGAGTACTTCTCCCACCTCTGATGCAGTACTTTGATACAAACGTATTGGTTCTTTTACTAAAGTAAAGCATCTGAATACTGCACCACTGATGGTCATCTCCATACCGTCACTCTGGATGTGTCCACGAAGCTCTTGTTGAAGTGTTTCAGAGCGTTGTTCGCGTCTTCCTCGGCTTTAAACCCCACAAAGCCGAACTTACGGAACTTCCCATCCTTGGTGAACTTCAGAGAGCAGTCTGTCACTGTGCCAAAGGCAGCAAACATGGACCTGAACCTCTCCTCCTTCATCTGCACACAACACACAGCGAGGTTACATCTTCAGGAGAAATCAGACAAAATGGTGCTGACATACGGGAGTTTACTTACCCCATTAGGGAGGTTTTTAATGATGAGTCTCGACATGGTTTTAGTAGCTGTACTTCCACTAATGTAGCATGAGTTTAATGTATAAATATATGTCAACAAACGAGCATGGACACTGCTCTAGGACGCCATGTTGAATGAGAGGAGCTTCTCTTTCTTCTTCTCTGCTTTCCAACTATCGTAAATTAAGCCTTGCTGCCCCCTGCTGGAGACTACACTGAGCGGCAGGAGAGGCATACTGTTTACAGAAGAGGATTAGGGCCACATGACCAAAAGTAGTTATTTTATTTTTATATATTATTTTTTTACTTTGTTATAATTATTATCATAAGTAAAAAAAAATATATATTATTATTATTACTGTTTTGGTCAATAAATTGACCAAAAAAAAAAAGTTATTTTATTCTGAGATTAAAGTCAGAATTCCAAGAAAGAAGTCATAATCCTCACTTCCGGTCGGATCTAAAAAAGTGTTTCACATGTGGCCCTAATCCTCTTCCGTACTGAAGTGTAAAAATACTCTGTTTCAAGTAAAAGTCCTGCATTAAAAGTATTCGTTGTGGACATTTTAAGCAACAGATTACATTAATTTGAATTAAAATGTTGGCGCATTAATGTGTTCATCACTTGAATTGGTTTATTTGAATTACCACTGGGCAGATAGCTTAACCTAAAATATATAATGATGTGTGTTGATTTATATTTTGTATTAATAATCTAAATCTGCAACGTAACTGGTAACACAATGTATAAAATAAATGTAGTGGAGTGAAAAGTATACAACATTTGCCTACAAAATGTAGAGGAGTAAAAGTATAAAGAAACATAATGTCAAAAATACTCAAGTACCTACATATTTCAATTAAAGGTCACCTCAGATGTATACAAATATATAAAATCATGTCTATGAAGTGTTTTGCTCAAAATACCAAACAGATCACCCATTCTAGCCATGCCTCATATCCCTCTATTTCACTTCCTGTTTCAAAAGTGCTGATTTTGGGTGTAAAGCTTTAAAAAAAAAAATATTGATACAAAATAAAAAAGGAGGGGGCTGAGCTCATGCGGGACCCGGCAGCTACTGTCTAAACTAAATGCTGCCGTGATGAAACGCCATATCATGGATTATCAAGGATTATTTCTGAAGCAGTATGGAGCTCAAAGGCTTTCTCTCTTGCCGGTTATACCACAAGGTGAGTTCCTTTTTACTTCCTGCTTCTTCACACACATGCTCTCCAGTACCGGTTAGCTCTGAGTGTTAGCGATGCTAATGTAAACACCGACCATATTACGTCCAAAACAGTCGGGCATTGTTTCTGATAGCAACTTTCTGATAGTGCCGTGGGTCCACATTTCAGATATTACGTCATATCGGACGCAAATCTGGATCAGCTCCGTTGTAGCCCCGTTTTTAGAGATTTGGGTACGGAGGAAAAGAGAGAGGGTTTTATTTTCTGACGCTGCGTGAGTTCCCCGACACACCGGGGACACATATTTATGTATAAAAGACATCAAAAAGTGCATTTTGCATGATAGGTCCCCTTTAAATACAGTACTTGAGTAAATGCAATTTGTTACAGTCTGTTTTACCAAACTTAATGCAGACTGCCATCTACTGTAGATAACACTGTGACTAAGTACGCAACTTCAAACAACATGCATTCAAAACATATGAATGATCACTTTAAGTTATTTTACTTTAACATTTATCATAGTACTGTAATTGCTGTTAAAGTAATATAAAGCACTCCTGTGACCCCAGTAGAATGAAAACAGACTACTTGACTCACACATCAATGAACCTTTTGTTCTCCATGCCACACTGAAAGGTCAGGAAACTTAACAGGCATCCAAAAGTGCATAACAGTTCACTTTGAAAATACTCTCACTCTGTAATGAGTTCATCTTTATTTAAAAAAAATCAATGGAATGCTCTTTTTTAAGGGTTTTACACACCAATTGATCATTTATCATACCAAAATATGACATATTGTGACGAATACAATTTGAACCAAAGTGATGTTGTTATGACTTCCAGGCACGTCTCTTTAGTTCAAGCAAAGCACCATGATTTATGTATGCTATATGTTTATCATTTATATTAAGTTACATTTTCTGATTGAATATGTTGTGAGTGTGGACTATAAAGCCTTGTGGAAGGTACTCATGTTTGTGAAAACAAATAGTGGAAGACAAAAATGCTTTAATTGCTGTATTCATGGGTAATATGTTATAACTGTGTCATCCCTGTTGCATCGACAGTGCGGGCCTTTTTGGAGGACTTGAACTCATTCTGGATTTCAATAAAGGTTTTGTTCTTGGTTTCAGGAAGGACAAAGAAAATGTATATGGCCATACAGGTGCAGACGGCCATGAAGACGAGGAAACAATACTGCTCCAGCCAAACCTGTACAAATAAAACAGGATATAACACAATGAGTCCAAATCTCTCAAAGAACCAAGTTTATTAAATTCATTTCGTCCTTTGAAATGTATCAGATAATGATATAGCATTTGAAAAAGAAGATACCATTATATGAACATACTTGTGTTGTGATATACCTGTATGGCCTAGCGTGATATTTGAAAAGTGAAATATTGATATTATATTCATTTAACACATATTATATTATGGTGTAAATAATTCAGCGCCTTTTAAGTAATTGGTTACAGATATTATCTTGGTTAAAGAATAACTCTCTCTGCCCTAAACTCGTCTTTTGAGTGTATTCTATTGGACAAAAAAGGTAAAACATACAATAAACAAAGTTAAAGATGGTTTTGAGTGACAGCATTGTCTCAAAATGTCTTTAAATATCTCTATAATGTCATAACTGTGAATCATTTCTAGCATAATAATCATGCAGAGAATATATCGATCTGAAAAACATTATCAAATTGGACAGCAGTTATTGAATGCTTACCACAAGAAAAGGGAAGACCATGCTGATCAAGAAGAAGCTCAACCAGTTCAAGGATCCTGCGATAATGTAGGCTGCAGGGCGTGTTGCTTGAGTGAAGAGTTCAGTGGTCAAGATGTTAGTCACACCACCTTCAAGGAAGAAGAAACAACAAAACAAATCAGTTAGTTATAACCATTGTGCAACAGCAGCTGCTAAGAAACTACTTTAATGAAGGAAGAACGTATTACCTGGTCCTAAGCCAAAACTGAGGATAAAAGCAAACACACTAGCTATGCTCAAGTAAGGAACTATGGGGCTGGCACTCTGTGAGAAATAAAGCCAAACAGAAGAAATTAGTTTAGTGAGTACATACTTATTTATGGTCAAAAACAATGGTTTAAATATATGGTTTATAATGAGGTACCTGATAAGAGAGCGTCAGCGTGAATAATATGCAGCAGATGCTCATCAGTATGTATCCTCCCATGATGAGCACTTTCCTTCCCAGGCGATCAATGACGATACCCTGTGAGACACACAGCATGTCACAGGACCAAAGACACTCGAGGCAAACACTTTCCTTGAATTTAACTTCGACCTTTTACGCGTCAGTTTTGTACGGAGCCCTGGAGAGTTCATAGAGAGAAAAATAAATAAAACGAGGCCACGTTTTATTAATTCCGTAGTTTTGTTTTCCGCTAAATCCTGCTCAACAATATTTTGTAATCTCACCATTGAATGTTTTATTACAATTGTTCCTCTGTAGTATTCTGTTCTGATCTATTTCAGCTGCACTCTGACTCTTATCTTTTGCATGACGCTTTTATTAGAAATGTCTTGACTGTTTTACCCTTGTGGCTGTACACCTATATCTATTACCCTGTTGTGTTGCTGTAGCAAGAAGGAACACCACAATACAAATACAGTGTAAAACTCATACTTACACATGTTAAAGCTGTGACGAGTTCACAGGCACCAGTGCCAAGGGTCACATATGGAATTCTTTCAGCAGAGATACCAGATTGTGTGAACAAGTAATTTGCATAGAAATAAATCTACAGGAATCAAATAAAAAAACAAAGTGAATCATCTTTTAGGAACCTTGTTAGAGGTAGCAGGACAAATCAATTAAAGGAACAACAGGTATAATATAGACGTACAGCATTGATGCCGTTCAGCTGCTGTGCCACGTTGAGCAGCATCACGGTGAGAACCTGCAAGCGGATGCTACGATCACATAAGAGCTCCCAGGGTGTCTTGGCCTTGAAATCTGCCAAACCTCTCTTCTCCTTCTCGATATCATCAAGTTCGCCATCACAGCGAGATACACCGTGCAGTTGCTTCAGGGCTGCAGATGGGGAAACACATGACAAGCATGGTGATTGAAGTTTTCCCCATATTTACCATTCTTCTCATCTGACAAGGCTAGAGGGGATATTTTTTGAGAATCTGATTAAAAAAGGTTTCTTGTGTTAATGTGGCATTAACACAATGTTATCACATGCTGTAAGTCACTGGCATGAGGACAACATCTGCCTCCGGTGATTCCAGATAAAAGGGAGCCCTCAACCATTTCAACCATGCTATCATGTGTGCTATGATCTTCTTGGTGGTCAAGAGAAACAATCACACATATTTGGAAATGAAAGCATCTGTACAGTATAGTTTCAGAGCAAGTTTACCTTTCTTGCATCCTTCAATATCTCCTCTGTCGATGAGCAGGTAGCGCGGGCTCTCGGGGAACCAGGGCAGGATCAGGAGCTGCAAGAAGGCTGGGACACATGTGGTGGCGAGCAGGATGGGCCAGCTGTCTTCTTTACCCAGGAGCTCTCTGGGAAATCACACAGACATTTCTAAACAAAAACACAGTATAGCATTTATCTCTTTTTCTCTTAAAGTGTTGTCTTTTTCCATTAAGCCTGGTATACAGAACAAAGATGGCAAAAGGGAACAAAGATGTGAGAGCCGCTGTGATAAGGACTGAGCCTCAGTGCATGTGGCATGTGCACAGACACAATGTTTATGGGGAAATATTATTATTTAATGTAAAAATCAAATATATCCATTAGCGCTTCAATTATAAAAGTAAATCAAAGTTCTACTTTTTTGATAATTAATACATGTTTGTTCATGCAAAACGACACACAATGCTGTTTTAAGCTTCTCAGAAATGGATATTTCTTTTTTCCCCTCTGTTTATAGTTACCAGAACATCTCTGAGCCTTGGACTGTAAAACAGTTAAGACATCATTCTGAATTTTGAGAAACTAGGATGGATATTTTTTTCACTATTTATTGACATTTTTACTTAAAGATCAAATGCAAAGCTTCCAAATATGCTACATTTTTATAGAAATGTTGTTTTTAAGACTGCCTGTATTTTTTTAAAAATTTAAATCGAGATAATACACCCAAAAAAAAAGCTTTTTATTGATCCAAAACTCGACCCAAAGCCGTCTGAATTTCTGACATGTAATTCCCAGCAGTCTCCGCGCGCGTGACGTAATAGTGGCCAAACAGTCTTTGGACCAAATATCCCGACTCGGCAGTCTCGGTCACATGTTTTTCGAAAAGAAAACTGAATTAACATGGGTTATTGTTGAGCTTTTTGTTGTACGAACGGTGCGGGATCTGGGAGAGTTTTACATGCATTTCCCAAAGACCAAATCATCCGCAAAAAATGGATTTTTTTAGTGAATCGTGTTGGATGGCAACCGACAAAATGGAGCAAGTTGTGTTCTGACCATTTCGCATGTGATGCATACGACGTTGATCCTGCTATCATGAAGTCTGTTGGTGGAGAAGCATTAATAGCATGTCGGAGGCTGAAACCCGGAGCCGTCCCCTCCATATTTCAGCACAAGAAACCACTGAAAGAACGAAAGAGCCGGGCGATGCAGAAACGCCAAAGAATTGAGGTAAACAACTTTTGATTAGATTTCAAAGTGCACGGAGCACAGCAGATAACGCAGATAACGGAATTGCAGTTTTACTGCTTATAGAGGTGGGCAACGTTAGATTCTGTGTCTTTACGATCATAAACAATGTGTTGGATGTGGAGCTAGGATAAGTAATAAGGGCGCTAGAAGTGATTTCGGTGCAGTAATAGGTTAGAATTTTTCGCTCGGGGCTAATTCACTGTTAGCATTGTAGTTTATCTGCAGCTCATTCATCGCTCCTCCACTCATAACGGAAAAGTGTGAACAATATGCATTATGATAGGGATTAAATCCACTATTATTCCTCCAGGCCCAATTAAAAATGCCCCCCGCGCAATTAAAATTGACTGTGAGAACTTAGAAAACCCAACATTCTTCTAACCACTTCATTAGGCCTATGCATCAAAAAAGCCCTCCGCCATGCTTTCATTTCTTTCAGCCGAGTGGATGCTTATAGAGGTGGGCACCGTTAGATTCTGTGTCTTTACGATCATAAACAATGTGTTGGATGTGGAGCTAGGATAAGTAATAAGGGAGCTAGGAGTGATTTCGGTGCAGTAATAGGTTAGCATTTTTCGCTCAGGGCTAATTCAGAGTCTCACTGTTAGCATTGTGTTTGGTTGTGATGGTTCCCAAATTACCCAGTGGTGAGTCCGCCTGGACTTTATTTTTCTAAACCTCTCTAAAAAGGTCAAACGTCACTTGTTTTGCATCAATCTTGATACAGGGTACTTATTATATGTTATAGTTTGGATTCCTAAAGCTTTTAGTCTATAGTCTACTCAGAATCAGACATGATAACGAAACTAAGTTGTACTATCGGCGGAAGCAGCTGTGAGCGATAAGCCAAGGTTTGTTTGTTTGGCCACTGTGACGTCACGCGACGCCATCTTGCGGAGGAGCGGCTGAGAAAATAAATCGTCGGACTTGGTGTTGGGAGTTGAACAAAATAAATATTGCGCATTGCCAGACGCATATTATCTCCGATTTTAATACTGCAATATCTTAGATAGTGTTGTAGCTATATGATTTCGATTTTACTGGCAATTATAAAAAAAACTTTGCATTTGATCTTTAAAGGTGGGGTAAGTTTGAGAAACCGGCTCGAGATACACTTTTTGTTATATTCCATGGAATGCTCTTAACATCCCGATAGCAATGAATATCTTAAGTGCTTTGACAAAAAATCCATTAAAAAAATTCATCTGTGGAAGCCGTCCACACAGCGGCGTGCGTTGACGCTTGGAGGTGGATGTATCTGAAGCTTGGGGATTTTTTGCGAGCAACGCGACCAACAACCAATCACATGAATCTCCCGCCCCCGACATACAAAGCAATAGCAATGTTAAAACGAAGTAAACTGGATATAAAATCCCCAAACAGGCGAAAACCTACCAGTTTCATCCACTGTCTCTGCCACCTCCCTCCATGCCTCGCTCCTCCGGTTTGTATCCCGGTAGATGAACAGGGACTGATCATACAGCACCGGGTGATTCACTACCGCTATAATGAATTTTCCCTCCATTTTTGGGAATATGAGGAAATGACCTGCGTAGTCTCTCCCAGCATACACGCGGTTTGATTGGCTAGCGCTTGTACTGGCAGATTTGCATAAACGGGATTTCATTGGCTGACGCTTCTGCCGAGGCGTTAAAAGTTGAACATTGCTCAACTTTTGAAGCGAGCAACGCCAGCAACGCTCCATGTCGCTTCCCAAAATGCAGTTCGGCTAAAAGTGACGTCACCCCATTCAAAGTGAATGGCCAGAAGCGTTGGAAGCTTCAACGCACGCCGCTGTGTGGACGGGAAAAGCACGACCAATCATTTTAGCCAGCCCGGCTAAAATAACTGGATGGCCTACCTGCCTGTCAGCCTGCATCTGTGCACAAAGTTATCTCGTGCCCTCATTGGTTATGTGCGCTTTCGTGTGTGTTGGAGGAGTTGCTCTGTAAGGAAGTGGCAGATTTTTTCCGGTTGTGTATTTTCAAATTCTAGCGCACTCAAGCTGGTTTCTCTAAAATGACCTACCCCACCTTTTATGATTGGCAGATTATTCTAAAATGAAATGAGTTGTTTGTAGCCTTAATATAGCATTTACTTACTTGAGACCAACTACTTGTCCAGCGAAGAGCCCTAAAGTGATGGAAATAGAGGTTCCCATTCCCATGGCCCCACGAAATGCAGTCGGAGCTATTTCCCCCAGGTACAGAGGTTGAACACAAAGACCAATGCCTGTGAAAACAAAATATGTGATTAAAGCTATATTTATGAGGTTTGAAATGCAAAATTAAAACCAAACACTGAATACACTGGTGAACACACTCTCTAGATGACGTATTTCTGAATGATTTACCTGCATTTAATCCAGTGATAAAACGTCCGATGATGAGTAATTCAAAATATCCTGTGGGGTAACTCAGACCCATCAGCAGAGCAGCGATTATTGCAAATGCATTATTTACTAACAGTGTCCCTTTCCTGGAAAAGCAATATGACATTATGGCATTCATGTTAAAAACAATATGGACAAAATAAAAATATTGCAAAAAATATGCCATACCTTCCATGCTTCACAGACAGTGTCCCACCGACTGTCACTCCTAACAGCCCCCCTATGGTGAATATAGACACAATAGTGGACCAAAGCAGGGTGAGAACACTTTCTGGTATGCCAGTCTGGTAACGCTCAATCCAGGTTTGGTTGATGAAATTATGCACATCCTGAAGATAAAAAGAGAAACATGGATGTTCAGAATGAATTAAAATGACAAAGTAGCCCATTTAGCATGAGTACAGACAAATGTGCATAAATACTGCAGTAAATGTGGTGACACAGTGGGGTTATTACCGTTGTGGGTGCATTGATGACAGAGATATTATATCCAAACTGAAAGGTTCCCCCTATACAGGCAGCACAGGCAGCCAACACAAGTGATCTGTTTGGGAGCTGCAATACAAACATACAAAACATATATTTACATCATTAACAACTTTATTTTGATGTCTCAGTAGAGACAGTTTTTGATTTTTTTTCTCATATTCCACATACCTTTGGTTGTTTTTGTCCATTGAAATCTTTAATAAGCAGAGGCTCAAATTCATCCGTAAATTCTTTTGGCATTTTGTCGCCGATTTTTTGCTCAAAGTCCAATGTGGTTTCTCGTTTGTGTGTCCTTCATGAGAGGAGTTTGCTCTCAAAAGGAAGCTTAAATGACGGCAGGATGGATTTATCATTAGGAAGATACAAATGATCTATTGTCATGAAGTCACAGCGAGGTGAGGAGAATCGGCTCTATTAATCCGTGTCTATCAGGATTTCACAGCAGTGTATAGTAGAACCAGCTGCATCACAAATGTGAGCTTCAAATGCTTTTTTCCCCTCAGTAGACTACATCTCTATCCAACTGTTGACGAGCTGTCGCGCAAAAGAATGTTTCCCAAAAAAGAATACAATGAAAAGTTAAAAAAGTTATTATAGATAACAGCATCCGTGCTGCTTCAGCCTACAAACACCCGTGGAGGAGGCGGAGAGTCGGGCTGCCTCATGACAGCCACAGTTAAATCTTTATCCAACTTTATAATTATTATAAACTCGTGTTTTTACAATAAATTCTAAAAGTTACGAACGTGAAACACAGGTCATAGAGATGTTGAATCCATAGGCTATGTAACCTGAACTACAGTAATGTTTAAACTAGGGCCGGGACTTTAACGCGTTAATTAAGATTAATTAATTACACAAAAATTAACGCGTTAAAAAAATTAACGCATTTTAATCGCACTTATTTTTGCACCGCGGAACGTTTCTCACTGGATGAGTTTCAGGCGTACCGATTATACTGGAGCACCAACTAACGTTCATGACTTCAGACAACAACAAACCACAGTGAACAACAGTGGGAAATGTTGTTTTAAAAAACGGACGGATGGAAGCGTCGATAAGAGCACGGTTGTGTGCAAATTATGCAAAAAGGAATTCGCATATCACCGCAGCACATCAAGCCTCAAGTATCACCTCAATGCAAAACATATAGCAGCTAGCGTGGAAGCTAGCGTGGACGTTAGCCTCTTTTATCGCGTTCACACCAAAAAGAGCCGGTACTAAAATTAGTTCATGAGAACCTTTTTACCCCCACAAAAGTCTCTGCTAGAGAGCAGAGAGCTGCTAGAGAGCAGGGACTTTCGTACGGCTCTCTTGTGAGAAAAGAGCTATATTTCTGATTGGCTGGGCGGATTGCAAACCACGCCCCGTAAAACTCCCAAAAAGTTTTGTGAAGCCGCCATTTTATTATCCTCGCATTAGCATTATTAGCATTAGCATTAGCCCAGCGCAGAAACGCAGAGAGACTAACTTCTGGCAACACAAAATAAAACATGGGAACGGTGGAGATGAGGAGGTGTCGGCGTTCTGGCGATTTACTCGGAAGGCTGCAGGGACTCCCAGCAGCTTCTACTGAAGCCAGTCCCCAACTCCGGGGACTTCCGGCCGGGGACTTTGGGCGGTAGTATACGCCGTGAAGTGGTTTGCGGCCTGCCAGTAAAACCAAAGAAGAAGAAGTGACGTCAGCGGCTTCATTTGCCTAATCCACCCCCAGGTTCAAAGAGTTCTCATGAACTAAGTTCTCATGAACCTTTGTGGGAAAAGTACTGCGGTGTGAATGCGCCTAATGGTATACTAAAATCCATGTGCAAAAAATTGCTTCTCACTGTTCTTAGGTCAAATATTTATATGTGATTAAAAATGCGATTAATTTCGATTAATTAATTACAAAGCCTCTAATTAATTAGATTAATTTTTTTAATCGAGTCCCGGCCCTAGTTTAAACACAGCATTATGTTCAAAATCAGCAGTAGTAAAGTGTTGACTCCTCCTGCTGTATGTCCCAGACATCAGAAGAGCAGGGATGTGAACATCTGCAGCATCTTAAAGGTGTCTGAAAGCTAAAAAGTTAAAACTTTAAAAGGGTCAAGGGGTTGAGAAGATAGTCAACAGTATTGTTTTATATTTATGTGGTCAGTATGATACTCTTTATAGCTTTAATTCTGCAACATGGATACAAATACGCCCATTACAAGCTTCATTATGCAGTGTTAAAAGTTGATTAAAATTAACATGTTTTGGGTTGCAATTTTGTGTAAACATTACCGGGGCTGGTGTTCATCCTCCTCCAATGGGACACTTGAAGCATCATGAAGCATTTATTACATTACTGCCAAATACAAAAGGACCCTCTCTGCATACATGTAGATTTAATAGATCAACAGATCACTAATGCATTTAAATTGTATATGATTTATTACGCTTCATGAGGAATTAGATATACAACTTATAAACCCTTAATAGAGAGTCATTAGAAAATGGCAACACATACATTTTAGCCTACATTTATTTACAGGTGCACTTTACATTCCTCACTTTGATTTGTGCACTGATTATTCATTTTACTATCATCCAATAAGTCTAACAATAAATGTAATGTGTCTTCACTTTACACTTGACATTTAACCTGTTAAACCCCGAGCCTGTTTTTCAGGTTTCAGGCTCGAAAATGACATTCCCAGAACAAATGACTATAACTTCACTTCTAAAAGGTTTATATGAATAATTGTTGTTATCAAAGTAAGGTTACATCTGTGAGTTGGATGTAGAAGTGTCAGAATCAATATAGATTGTTCTGTGTCAGAGTAAATTCAGATGGAACATAGCAAAAAAATGTAAATTCCTGTCTCCGCCTAAAGAAAACCCATTACTTATAGTGAAGACCAACCTTGAATGATGGGTTAGTAGCCTAAAAGCTTTAGGAATCCAAAGTATAACATAATAAGTACCCTGTATCAAGATTGAGGCAAAACAAGTGACATTTGACCTTTTAGAGAGGTTTATGAAAATAAAGTCCAGGCGGAAATAAGCTTTGGGCACATTTGGGCACATTTGGGTCCATCAGTGCCATTTGACCTTTTTCAGGTACCAGACTATACAAATCATTGTATTACATTGAATCATCACTATAGGTATTCATTCCATCCAAAAAAAAATAAATAATTTAAAATAAAAAAAATAATTTAAATTATTATTATTTTATTTTTTTAAATATGTTTGTGTGCGTGTAGGTGTGTGTAAGTGTAGGTGTGTATGTGTAGGTGTGTATGTGTAAGTGTAGCTGTGTGGGTATGTGTAGGTGTGTAAGTGTAGCTGTGTTGGTATGTGTAGGTGTGTATGTGTAAGTGTAGCTGTGTGTGTATGTAACTGTACCAACGCACTATACAATAAAACCACACTGTAGGTCAGTGTGTGTAGGTGTACTTGCACAATAAAAAAAAAACGGAAACATAGGTAACATTTGACTCCAACTGGGGCAAATTTATTTCAAACATTTTACCAACACACTATAGGCATGTAAAAACAAACATTTTACCAACGTACTATACAATAAAACCACACTGTAGGTTTGTAAAAACAACAAGTATTTTTTTTTTAAATAAACACTCGCAAAACGTTATACCTACCTGAACTTTATACCTTCTTGAATGTTCCAGTATTAGGTCGTGCCACTCCCTGAAACAGTTCTTTTTGACAGTGAAGCACAGAGGGACCTGTCACTTCCTGCAGTACACAGGTGTCTTCACCCTTTTGAGTCCAGCATCTAGGCACCTCCTGCAGTTCTTCCTGACCTTGGTGGCATCTTCCCCATAATACTCGGGCATGCATGTGAGTGGTGGAGGAGGGGGTGGTGGAGGTGCAGGGCCTTCAGCAGGGCCTTCAGCAAACTCCAATAATTCTGCAGCAAGCTGCTCCCTGAAAGTCTTCTGGGTGTGTGGCTTTGTCCTGCTGGGGTCACTCCTCATCTAACAAATGTGGAAAAACAAAGAGATTAGATTAATTCACTGGTTTATACTTACAGGATAATATTAGACTATAAATGAATAATATTACACCAAATAAATAAGTAAACACATGTATATTCATTCACTGGCCATTCATTTAGAAAATGTAACTCCAAAAAGACAAGTAACACTATTTAGCATTTTGCCTAATCATTCCTGTAGCTTCTTGGCTAAGCTAGCACTGTGACGCAGTTCCACCAAACACATAAGTAATATATAAAAATAGAGAGATTACATACCTTTCCCGTGGTGGAAGTTCAACATCCGAGTCACTACTGTCCGGATCCAGGTCTGGCTGGAGGAGATCTTCATCATCCGACGAAGAGTCATCTGGTATGATCATAGCCCCGCTATCGTCAGCTAGCATCTCTAGCACCTGCTCGCCTCGGTGGTGAAGCTCTCCCTTCTGGCTGCGTAATGCGTAATGGAGCCGGAGCGGGCGTAGTTTATACTACGCAGGATCATATCTTTGGAACCCATTGGTCGATTTGGGTGATTGACACCTTTTCTGAACCGTTAGAGCCAATAGAATCGAGTGACAGTTAGTAAGTCCCGCTAAACACTTACGTCAAGTAGAGAGAGGTTTGCGTAAACAGCACATGAGACAGCATTAGCTCGGGACTGCAAAACTTTATACCTACTCTGCTGCCATGAATGTAATGATAGATTATCAGGAACAATTCTAAAGTGATTTAAGAGACATTAGATTAACCTTAAACAGCGTTTTCATTCCCTTGAACACGAGCTTTGATCACAAAACAGCAACGGTAAGACATAATTATTGTTATGGTTTTGAAAACTGTTGTTTTTTTTTCCTCTCTGTTCTGGCTGTTAGCTCAGTGAGTTTGTGTCCGACAGTGATGATACTTATAACTAAATAATCTGTGGAGTATCAGCTTTCAGATGATATGTAGTTTGTGCAGAAAATATTAAGTTTTAAAGATCGTTTTTGCTAGTTAGCACCGGAAGTAGCATCTGCCCGTTTTAGCTAAGGGCTAATGCTAACGCTTCTTGTGAGACTTGTGTTTTGTTTCGGTAAAAATGGTTCGTATCGTCAGTTAGCTGAGATTCTTCTCGTTAATCTGGTATAACACATTAATAGGTTTTTAAATATTAAGATGCCCTGAGACACAGTGTCGTGAAAAAAAAAAAACAGGGTCCCCGCCGGCGGGGACCTTCGGGCTTAACAGGTTAAAGCAAACACTGATTAGTTGAACCACAAGATACATTACAAATGTTGTTCATTAAATCACACAAAATTAGAGCCAATTTTATTTTCTGAATATAGTATTAGCCTTTTATTTTACAAATACAAAACAATAAATGACATAAATGCCAATACTCTTACAAACCTTCCCACATGCTCCCCACACAGTCGATAACATGGACTTTGGATGTCTCGAAGGTAAACCCTAAAGTTCAAAACAAAGCACACATTTCCATTGCAGCCTTCTGAAGTTCTGAGGCATTAAAAGGTTGCCGAGTTTGGGTTTCTACTCACCTCTTTCTTTGATTCTTCAGATTCCTCATCGAAGTTCATTTTGGAAGTTGCTGTATAGTGTTTCAATGGACCATTTATAATGTTTTCAGTTCAGTCGAAACAGTAAGATAATGGCTGCCTATTGTTAGGGCAGCAAATGTCAGCTGCAGGGGGGAACCTTTTAACTCTTAAAGCACATGCCCAAATGCTCCTGAGGCTAAAAGAGGGATCGCTGACCCAAATATAAAAATTAAATCATCCCTTTTGTCTAAATGAATAAGACACCTAACGAAAACCCTTTCCTATTACGATACGATATACTATATTGTCCCCGTAAGGAAATTTGTTCTGGACTCCGTCCTGCAGTTCCGCATACATGTTACATATACAAACATAGTAGACATTAAGAGACATACACATATCATCAGTCATACACCGTTACACAATACACAGACGCACATACTGACAATGGCGACCTATTGCACAACCCTCATTACATATGTCATGTTACAGACATGATCCCATGTTCTCCATTCAGGTGCCAGAAAATATTATGATCAGCATACTGGACTACCAGCTCCTGCCTGGAAGTAGTCTTTTCTGTAGCACTAGATAATAGTTTTGAGTATCTTGGAATTTCTCTTATCATATTTCAAAATGTATGTATAGGGCATATAAAGCCTTTTAAAAAAGGTATTATAACATTAAATATCTAAAACATCTTGACCTTTACTAAATGCTGTTGTGGTGTGTTCTCTTAGGACATTTTCCCAACAATTTTCCAACCTAGAGAAATCCATATTTTTAAGTAAGGTAAAGGTCCAATTCATTCAGGCCTCATTTAGACTCCTGTTATTGTGACTTATTCCCTTCAGTCAGCGCCATGTTTGGCATACATTTTGTATACGTGTTTATGACATTTTAACCATGCACTGATATGGTCTCTTTTGATCCCCTTGAACATGCCACTATACTCTCTTTTGTTATTGTTTTGATTGTAAGACCCCTAGTGGCAGAATATACAGAATGTGCATTTAAGAGCCCAACTCCATTGTCAAGTTAATTGAAAATGTAAGAAAAAAGAAAAACATGGATTTATCTATAAACATGAAGCGTGTCTGTTTATAATCTTTCATATCACATCACAAGGGTTGAAACTAACAACTCATTTATAAACAGAAGTACATTGTCAACGTCAGCTGCTGCTTCTACCAGCCTGTAATCACTACGGGGCTTTTTAAGGGCATGCTGTTCTGCACACGACCCCAAAAGGTTGAGTAGTTTATCCGGGAAAAACTTTGAATCCTGCAAGAGCCTCTAAGAATGTGTTCAAGCCAGTCTTGCCACTTGAGCCTGAAAGCGAAATGCACCTCAAGTAAGAATGAACACATTGACTATTACTGCTATTTTCCTGAAATGTACTATTTAGTTGTGTGTGCAGCGGACAGTGTGAAGATGATTTAATTCTCAGACGGATCCCGGAGTGGCTCCATGACACAGCAAACTCATGTGATTATATAGCAGCTCGAGGGAAACTGTATTATTCATAGCTGGAATCCCTCATTCCAAATACAACCTAACTTGGGTGTAATACAAACCAGAAAGTGTTCAGTTAATTAGGAATATATTGACTTTTTACCTACCCCACATATCTGTGTTCTCTGAAAGGTTTATAATAAAGTAGTATTTTTAATTTCATTAAAATGTGGTCCCCAAATGTTGTTGATTTAAATGGTCAAATTGAATTTGACATTTTCAGTGAGCAAATGTTCAAAATGTTTGTTGGTGCAAACATAAACAACATTTGAAAATAAGTTGTAAGAAGTCAAAAATATAACAATTATAAAAATAAAATATAAAAAAACAAAAACATTTTAACATTAAAAAATAAAAAATAAATATTGACTTTTGATCAAATACGTTTAAAAACAAAGGGTGTAAAGATATTAAAGTTAAACCTGTTGCCTCTGTCCTCGGTGTCCTGTCGCTGTCTGACCGCAGCACGGCGCTGTATCCCTCCAGGTGTCACACTGAAACTCTTCCCCTGGCGGCGTAACACTGAAACTCTTCCCCTGGCGGACCGGTGAAGGAAAGAGCAGAGATTCTGCAGACTGAGTTCATAATGTCGGGCAGAAAGCCCCGGTCTGTTGCAAACCCTCTGGAGTCTGCGATCACCACACCGAGTGAGAAGATACTGAAAGAATGCCACACTTTATATGTCGACAGCGAAAACGGTAAATACTCAATAACGGGCAATAATGCGTCAACGTTAAAGCAAAGTTAGGACCGTGAAGCAGGTCCAAGCACGCATAGTTTAAAGGTTATGTAACTTAGTGCAAGGTGGGTCTTAAGTTTGTATTGAATGTAAAACGTAAACGCTGCTGGGTGAATACAAAGGAACTTGTGTGTGCTGCAGCTGTCAGCCAGTGTCAAACACATGACATTGAACACTGGCTCCTCTGCAGCTCCTTTAAGGGCAACGCCTTTCCGACTGCAACCTGTCTGAATGACACACACAGTCAGGTTTCATCGTTATATTTGTGTTTTAAACGTAGAGGAAGTGGGCCTAAACGTAAACAGCCCCTCCTGAAATGTACTCTAGAGATAGATAATAAGGGTGCAGCCCAGGCGTTTCTTTTCAAGGTCCTCCTGGTACATATTTGCTAAACTGTTTAGTCTTCAACAACAAAACTCTGTTAACTGATCTGGTAATTTAATTTAATTAAACTTTACACTTCTACTTTAATACATGTCAGAGGCATAGTAAGTTTGACTAATCTACATTTATGTAACAACTTATGATATTACAATTTTACATCCCCTTGTCCAGTAAGTAACTTATGCTTCCCCACATTTTTTTAATGTTTGTGAAAAACTGGATGATGTATTTCCTAATGTTTTCATAAAATTATCTTACTTCTTAAATTAGTTAAACTACTTAAGCTAAACACAGTGCTGTTTTTCTGAGTTTACAAAACTTTGACTTTTTAGAGATGTGTGGATCTCACAGGAAAGACACCATACCACCATGAATATGGTGCATTGCTGTAGATTAAATCACCAAACAGTATATAAAGGGGTTAAACTAGCATAACCTTAAACATATACAGTAGTAAAATGCAACATATGGTACACATAAATAGAGCTGTATTATTCATGCAAAAACAGCTTATAGGCTATAATATAACAGGACTGAGTGGGAATATTTTCACTGCATTAAATTAACTTTTGATACTGATGACAAAGTACATTTTGCTGTTATAACTTAGCTGCAGATTTTTCACACTGTAATTATTCAGACTTTTACACCTAAGTATACTATCTGTGTGAAGACTTTGCTCTTGCAGCACTTCAAGGAGATGTCCAGTATGTGTCCTGTCTTAGTTAATATAGCATTATAGTTTGTAAAAGCCTTCTGCCATGTTGAATGTTCTCGAGCCTTTCTTTATCAGGAGAGGTTATTGCTTTTTCAGGATCACCCTGTTCCAAAACACACATTACATTGAGATGATACAACTGTAATAACACTGTGTGTGTGTGTGTGTGTGTGTGTGTGTGTGTGTGTGTGTGTGTGTGTGTGTGTGTGTGTGTGTGTGTGTGTGTGTGTGTGTGTGTGTGTGTGTGTGTGTGTAGTGTGTGTGTGTGTGTGTGTGGTGTGTGTGTGTGTGTGTGTGTGTGTGTGTGTGTGTGTGTGTGTGTGTGTGTGTGTGTGTGTGTGTGTGGTGTGTGTGTTGTCGTGTGTGTGTGTGGTGTGTGTGTGTGTGTGTGTGTGTGGTGTGTGTGTGTGTGGTGTGTGTGTGTGTGTGTGTGTGTGTGTGTGGTGTGTGTGTGGGTGTGTGGTGTAGTGTGTGTGTGTGGTGTGTGTGTGTGGTGGATGTGTGTGTGTGTGTGTGTGTGTGTGTGTGGTGTGTGTGTGTGTGTGTGTGTGTGTGTGTGTGTGTGTGTGTGTGTGTGATGTGTGTGTGTGTTGTGTGTGTGTGTGTGTGTGTGTAGTGGTGGTGTAGTGTGTGGTGTGTGTGTGTGTGGTGTGTGTCGGCCTGGTGCCGCTCGCCCGCAGCCTCGGGTTCGGCTCCTGCCTCCCAGAAAGAGATCATTGTGATGGCTAATGGGGAACCACTCTGCAGGGAAGAGCTCTTTCATTAACTGGTAATGCATGATATGGTTTATAGGAATAAGTCCTCAGAAAACCTTAAATACAAAATAAAGCCCCCGTAAAACAAAAAGAGGAGAATACGATGACCTTACTTCACTAATTGTTATTGTTTTATTTCACCCCTGAGCTTATTCTAAATTGAAAATGAGCATTACGGTTCACATTTTTGTAATGTCTCCATAAAATATAATACTTGTTTTATTTTATAAATGTCTATACTAATTTGTAGTAAAATAACCAGATGGAATTGTCTATTCTTTGATTATACAACTGATCAATACAGCTATTTTATCACAGTAATCTAAAGTGCTGTGTATTCAATATTTTGAGTCTGGCTCAGTGGGGGTAGTGCGATAGTGCGCTGAACTTCGAATCAGGGGGTAGCAAGTTCGAGTCCCACTGCAGTCAGCATGTCGTTGTGTCCCTGGGCAAGAAACTTCACCCCAAATTGCTCCTGTGGGGATTGCCCACAGTACTGAATGTATGTAAGTCGCTTTGGATAAAAGCGTCTAACAAGTGACATGTAATAGCAACATTGCCCACAATGGTCTGATAAAACTCGAGAAATATTGGGATTGAGACCTTAACCACACTAATAACGCTATAGCCAAATATATATGTTATAGTAAGGGTTGTTAGATTATTTTCTTTGTCAATTAACCTTCTGTTTTCTTTTCTATTTAATCACTTTGTCTTAAAACTTTTCTAAATATAAAACATTTTCCTTCACATATTCCCAGAGCTCAAGGCAAAATCCTCATAAACTAGTAATAATAATACATATAAAAAAGTGATTCCATTAATGAAAAAAACCTTGTCGCCAATTGATTCACCATTTTAATAATGTATTGACTTACCCTTTTTGCTCTACATTTAAAAACACCACAGAGGCCCTACTGTAGTGTCCGTGAGGTGCTGAAAAACTCATGTTGTATCTAAAATGTTCCACTAAGCTGATGCAGGAATGTGTTTTGAACGAACTCCATAAAGAGCACAGTTGTCAATCATGCCTGCAGCCGCTGACCTCACATATTTTAAAGCGTTTAGGGAGGACCTCCTCTGGGGCAGTCGGTGTTTTTAGCATGAAGTTGTTGATTTGTGTTAAAGAGTTAACACAAATGGAAATATTAAATAAGTTCTCCCTCTCGATGTTAAATTGGTTTATTTCTCTTTAAGTTACAGCACTTGGTTGGTTGGGAAAATAATTGATTTCTCCCTGAAAATATTCACTATTATGAATAACATAATATTTACATGACAATTTGTGCATTGCTGAGTAATGATTAAGATTCACAATTTATATTATTTACTATTAATCATTAATTAAAATACTTATCGAAACAATAATCAACAAAATGTAGGAATGTAGGAATACAGCGTTGTTGCATAAGGTCCTGTGTACTTACTTATAAATGCAACATTAAACATAATAGTTCTTGATGCATTGAATGCCTCTTGATGTCATTTCAGGTACGCTGAGGAGCACATACAGAAAGCAGGCGTCGCTATCGAAACTCAGGGTTTCACGTTCGTCACAAGTGGTCGAAAAAGAGAATCATTGACGGTAAGAACGGCATGAAGAGGGCCAACATTTCCAGCTCTCATACAGAAGAGCTTCATGTGTATAAGACCGGATGAAAAGCCAAGTGCCAACTCATTATCAAAAAGACAACTACAATAAATAAAACCAGCGTTGTGCTGCTTCCGCTTTCCTGCTTTTATTATTTAATCCGGATCATATCAGTGTTTGTTAATTGGCACTTCTCGGTTTAGGGGATGAGTGATTTCTGAATGACTACAGTGATGGAAGTGAAGCTGCTCCTCTTCATAAAAGTTGATGCAGCGATGCGTTTGATGTCAGCTTGTACGAACAGAGGCACTCCCTCAGTCGCTTGTGATTTCTCATTCTGTATGCTGCTCGCTCCAATGAGGGACTTAGTTGTATAGACACACACACACACACACACACACACACACACACACACACAAAGGATGCCTATTTGCAGCATATACACAGGAGGGGGGGCACCTGTCTCTCCGTCTTCTCTCATCCTCCTTCTTCTCCTCTGCTCATATCCTGCTGTGGTGAAGGTGATGAGGATGAATCATATATTTGCAGTGCAGGACTGAGGAGTGGAAACATTATCTTATGTGTACAGGAAAAGCTTGAATACCGAGAACACAGAGGACTAAGTTTAAGCTCAATATTTACAGATCAATATTTGTCTCATCAGTTTATTCCTTACATTTCTTTTGAACTCTTTCACAGGGCAATGCCACGCTTCACCTCTACCCTCACTTTCGACCAATCCTTGAGTTCAAAGGTAAGCCTTTTCTCTTGGTGTAGCATCAGTAACTCCTAATGGGTTTCTGACAAATGCACTATTGAAAACAAATGCCATGGTTGTGCTGATTATGTGTTTATATGCCATGCTGCATTTCTATGTTCCTAATCTTATCATAATGAGAAATGTCTGCTTTGTTTCTAATGAGAGGCATTAAAACACCTGCCTATCTCACATAATAGAACAGTAAAGTACATTTTTAATGTAATGAGTGTGAGGAGAATTAGCCTTAATAGCCTTTGATACTGAAACTAACATATTTCCTGCTTTTGTGCAAAACGATAACTCCAGTTCTGCAGTCTGAGTACACAACACTTTCTCATTTGCCTCTCCATGACGCCTAAAATCTATTTAATGTCATCACTTTTCTAGTGTGTACAACGGAAAAATATGATTTGATTGAGTTTTTTATGGATTTTTCCCTCTGCTGGAGTCATGATAGGAAACAGCAAAGGGGGGATAAAGAGTTCAAATCAGCTGGAGAAGCAGCGTTAGGAGCAGGATGTTATCATGAGCTGCAGCCACAGATGGTTACCTTTATGTTTAGATAGTGCCCTGCTGTGTGGCACATATCCTACTGGGAACGTTTAAAGTGTGTGTGTTACGGACTCATTTCAAATTCAGAAGTTGAGAGATTTATTTGAGATCAACAAATTTAAATGTTTTAATCGCATCAACTGAAATCTGTTTATTCCTGCGTGTTGAAATGTAACACTGATTTGTCTAGTTTCTGGTCGCCTTGTGTGTTTTGAGATTTGAGGTGGAGTTTATGAGCTTCACCTTGATGACTCAACATCGCTGAGTCATATCTTTGACATATTAAGTTTTCTTTATATAATCAGACGCCACCCCAGTTCCCATTCTCCTTACATCTGTGTTGTTAGATATGGGAATAGAGATGACTCTCGCATTGAAGAAGGACACGTAATTAGCAGCATATCGTTTCAAGAGAATTAGTCTGGACTCTCTGTTCTGAATACACTAGATGTTGAGGTGCAGAAGGTTAGGGTGTGCCTGCTCTCTGAGTGGGAGCATCAGCATAGAGGGGGGAGGGCGCTAATGTATGTGCATGCGTTTGACGGTGAGTGTGTAGAGAGTGAAGGTTCACTGGGTGCGCTGTATGGCTTGTGAGTCACACGCCCCATTGACAGCAGTGCAGTGGAGTCAGGAGGAGCTGCTGAGAGATGTCACAGCCATTAGAGACGCCACAGCAGCAGCGACAGCTCCACTCTGCAGACCCTCAGCAACACCAACGAAATACCAGCAAGCTTTTTATTTCAACTTCAACGTCGCCTCTGGAAATATCAGCGTTTGTTTACCTGTCACAGCGGCTCAGGATGACTCATCAGAAAAACACCACTCCTTATGTGGGAGTATAGCTGCTGATGCTATGCAGTTTGATCTCCTTTGGGATTTGCTTAGGAGAGACTTCTTAATATTGTTTTAGACTTACATAAGGGGTGTTTATGTCTTTATATTTTCAACCTGTTGTCAACACTTTGAGCTACAAGTGAATGGATAGTTTTTAAAGTGCTATATTGTGGGATTTAAGTACTATATTGTTGGACTACATAGATTTTTGGCTGTGTCTTTTACAAATGTTCTTTATATGTATTTGTGCTAGACATGATTTGACCTGTTTAGTCCAACAAGTTCTTTTTTAGTCTTGGTTGATGCAGCATTATTGCAGCCTTTGCCCTTTTCCTCATGCGCAGGATCTCCAGTGCAGCCTTCTCAGTTACAGTCACTTGAGGAACTTAGCCCCCATTGGCGAGTATCACTCTCCTTTTCACCTTTTGGGAGTCTCAGAGGACTATTCTCCCACTATAGTGGACGATTTCATCTGTATCTAAGCCAAAGGTTCAGAGGGACTTACATAATTCCTGATGTTGAAATGCATGCATGTCTGAGGGAAGTATCGACCTGTTAGAGATCAAACATGAAGCTGTTTGATAGTATCTGCATATATATGTTTTTCCCACAAGAGTATCTAGTCACTTTACGTGCGACAATAATTGCTCCAAATTAACTGTGGGAATAAGCTTCCCGATGTGTGATAGGAGGCAGATGCATTGATATTGTGGCCATGCTGATGTAAGAGAAACATGAGGGAATGCTAATGTGCATAGCTGCAGCACAAGGATGGGATCTGTACTGACTGTTAACACCTGCCTACTTCCTATCAAACAGCCTCTGTGTCATCCCAGGCCTGTGTGTGTGTGTGTGTGTGTGTGTGTGTGTGTGTGTGTGTGTGTGTGTGTGTGTGTGTGTGTGTGTGTGTGTGTGTGTGTGTGTGTGTGTGTGTGTGTGTGTGTGTGTGTGTGTGTGTGTGTGTGTGTGTGTGTGTGTGTGTGTGTGTGTGTGTGTGTGTGTGTGTGTGTGTGTGTGTGTGTGTGTGTGTGTGTGTGTGTGTGTGTGTGTGTGTGTGTGTGTGTGTGTGTGTGTGTGTGTGTGTGTGTGTGTGTGTGTGTGTGTGTGTGTGTGTGTGTGTTTTATTAAAAGTGTCTAAATAGTGATGCTATTCTGGTGCTCAGAGTCTGGGTTTGACGGGGACTCGTCATGTGTGGTGGTTGTGGTGGAGTAAGGGAACCCCACACAGCGCGTTGCCTCACAGTCGTTCTTCACTGGCTAGCTTTATGTCCCACGCCCCACACTAAAGCTGCCAGTTGAAGAGCTGTTGTGTGCAACCAAGACAACAGACCGCTCAGCCGAAGGGACTATGAGAAAACGTAAGACCTAGCAAAAGTTTTCACGTGTTAAAATTCAAGATGAATCTGTGAGGGTGTGGCCGCTTTTTAACCAGAATGTATTGATGCATTTTTCTTTTTAAAAAGTGCTTATAATAATATTTTTCTAAATCACCCTTTACTTTTTTGCCATATCATCGCAAATGCCCATTCTTGCAATTTCAAATGTGCGTTCTTCTTGATCTTTAATGTCATTGGCCTTCCTCGGGTTTCCAAGTATTGACCGCACTGCGGCTTCCACTGGCAGATAATAATATAGTCATTAGAGGTGACAGCTTCCTGAAGAGACTCAACCTTGTATTTATCATCTGTTGCTCTACATTTATCCTGAAGGGAGCACCTGTACACACACAATGTTGTTTTATTCCAGGTGCTATGGACTACCTGACTGCTGAGATCTCCACCTCCAAGCAGAAGAAGTTCAGTCTGGTGACATTTGTGGACACGCCAGGTCTGGTGGACGGAGACATGGTCTACCCTTTTGATGTCAACGCCGCCATTACGTGGTTGGGTATGTCTTTGCAGCAGTTTTAATGTACAATCTCAATGTGTGTGTGTTCCTCTAATGGATGTTTGTTTGTATCTTTATGCAGGAGAACAGGCCGACTTGGTATTCGTGTTCTTCGACCCAATGGGCCAGGCGCTTTGCAAACGCACACTCAACATAGTGGAGAAGCTGAGTGAGACAAGTGGAGACAAACTGCGGTTCTATCTCAGCAAGGCAGATGAAGCTGGGAAGGACACAGACAGACAGGTACATTCACTTAAGTATGGCCTTTTTCATTTCTATTTGGCTACAAGATTGTAGCCAAAATAAGGTTGATTCTAAAAATATAACTTATATTTGTTTATTTCTGCAGAGGGTGATGATGCAGATAGTCCAGGAGCTGTGTCGCCGTCCAGGTCTCAACAAATGTGGTTTTGACATGCCTACGATATACATCCCCAACCCACAAAAGGTTAGACTGCTTGTATGTTCCTGTGATGAGCAGTTAACAGGATTTTTTATTTATTCATACTTTATTTATGCAAGGTTTTAAGAATTTAGATTTCTTAAAAGGTTGTTAATTTAATAGAAATTGTGTTTCCTAACAAAATATTAGGTTTAGTAATTATATTATATATTATGTTTTAGTGCCCTTCTAAGAATTTAAAACATATTTGGATGATTATGGAGATAAGATCTCAATTATTTTTGGCCAGGACAAACATGAAAATAAATGGTCAAGTCTCCCCATACCTCCTCAGCTCCAGGTCTGATCTTAGGTCTGGATTTAAAGCGCTCTGCTATCCTTGGGGGTTCAACAAACATTGATTATCCTGAAATGTAAATGATCCACTCCAGGTTTCCTGCTGGCTCCCGATGGCTGGAACAGGGTGATTCATTTAGCAATATGATGGCAAAGAGAGTTTTCAACCCCACCTTTGACTATAGCAGCCCTAGTCCTGAGTTATTACTGCACCATCCTGTGATCTACAACCACGGAGCGCGGTAGATTGGTGCCCACCGTCCGACCTCAGATTTATTTTCGCTGAGCAAGAGTATCTTCACTTCCTGCTTAATGCACTGTCAGTCACAGGGCCCTCAGGATCTGTTGTCCAGACCCCGCTCACATGTTTGTACCGTTATTCAAAACTGATGAGGCCTTTTCTCTTGTTCAGCCGAGCCGCTGTGTGAACCAGATCGATGTGGTGTGTGAGACCATCGAGAAGACCATCAACCAGGCCGTGCAGAAGACCCTGGACCAGCTGGAGAAAGACTGTGACCTCATTTGTTCCACCATCAGCAGCAGACTGGAGCAGGACAGGTTGCTATATGTGTTAAATGCAATATAACCGGATGTAATATGACATCTGAAAGCAAATAAACCACAGATGAGATAAGAGTCACCCGGTGTTATCTGCTGCAGAAAATGTGATATTAAAACCAGATTCCTCTGTTTGGACGCAGGGCCGACGTGACTCACAACAAAAGCGTCCGTCTTCACTCGTTCCTATGTGGCGCTCTGGGTATCTTCCTCCCCGCCCTCTTCATCCTCAGTTTCATCGTGAACACTTTCTCCCAGGAGCAGCTGGACGAGCTGCTGGGGGAAGGGCCGTCTCGGACCCTCTTTGTCTTTACAGTAAGAGTCACACAGTAACTATTTGTAAAAAAATTAAATAACATTGAAATAAAAAAATATATTTTTGTTGCATAATTTGTTATTTTTTCTTGAAGTCTAATTGGTTCTCTGAATGTTTTTTCTTTGTGTCTTTCAGGGAATAATTATGTATATATGGGACTGGATACCAGAAGATGGACAAGTACTATTTGTCATCGTTTTTGGAGCTTTTTGCTACCTACTGCTTTTCCTAGCAAAATATTTTGCAGGGTAAGTGTCACGAATATTCAATACAAACATATATATTCACACGTCAAGCTGAATAATAGCTTAAAAGCAGAATAATGTATTATTAATGAGTCAATCGACAGAACACTATTTTATTACAATTCATATTGACTAATCAGGATTTTCTTTTAAAATAGAGCAAGCAATTATTTTGGTTCAACTTCTAAAATTATTTTTCTGTGTTTAAGTGAAAGTTATTTTGGGGTTGAGGATGTTCTGATAGACCTCCAGATTTTGTGTAGAACAAAGGATTAAATCATAAAGAAAATGGGACAAGATGCTTTTGTAGTAAAGTAGACTACAGTATGTAAGTCGCTTTGGATGAAAGCGTCAGGTAAATAATATGTAATGTCATTTTGTCCAGAGGGCAACCAGGATACTTTGAATGAAACGCTAACCACATGAAATGTCTAAATAAAGAAAGCTTTTTCAGTTTTTTCAAAGAGGGTTTGAAGTAGATTCACAACAGATATAAACACACTCTCTCAGACACAAATGCAAACACACAGAGGACGTTGATTGTTGATATTCTAAGCGAACATTGTTGTGATGCTCTTCATTCTCAGCCGAGGGAATAAGACTCTGACGAAGAAGGAGAAGAGGACGATGGCAGAGTACAGCGATTACATCCAAGATATCGTCAAAACGAAGAAGGTGAGTTTATTTTTGTGCCATTGTGTCATATTTATTAAAAAAATAATAGCTGCAGTTATACCATGTGTAATTAATATGCGTAATGCAGAAGGGGTTTTTAGTAAATCACAGACAAAAACTATAACCTGACTGCAGCTTTACAGAAATGTTTTGAGTCCATTTTTTCATAATATAGGTTTTATTTTTATGATCACTGCTGACTGCCATAATTTTACCACTATCCATAAAATGTTAATATTCAGTTAATATCAGTTACAAAATAAATACAATCGGTAATGCTGCATTACATGCTGCACCATTTCCTGTGAATCTCATGTGCTTAGAAAGGCAAGTTTAGTCCGGCACAGGAATGGCAGACTAGCTTGTAATAAAACAACCTACATTCAGATGTCATGAATAGTTTAGATCAGGGGTCTCAAACTCAAGGCCCGGGGGCCAAATCCGGCCCGCGACTTCATGTGGCCCCACAAGAGCTTGCAAAGAATATAATACGTTTATTATAGGTTACATGCCACTTTACAGAAGCAGGTTGCCCATAAACTACATGTCCCACAATGCATCTTGTTTTGTGACATGCCCACTGACTTGCAATTATTTGCCCTGCACTTCTGCTTTCAGATGTAGTTAATTACTAAGTTATTATCCTATCTGATAATAATGAAATTCAGAGGCAATAATGTAATATAATACATTATTTTATATATATAATATATTTATATAGTTACAACCGGCCCTTTGAGTGCAACCTTTATGCGAATGTGGCCCGCGATGAAATTGAGTTTGACACCCCTGGTTTAGATGAACCGCTTTTTGCTTAATTTAAAAACAAAAACAGTCATTTGAATCTGACCCAGTTCATTTTGCTCCACAGGGGAATCTGTATGATTGGTACCTGCAGCAGTGTGCCGCAGAGTCTGACTTCTGAATCAGTTTTCTAAACAGATGATCATCAGCCAGGTGATCGGGTGTGTCTCTTCTCAGTGTGTAGCCTCTCAATGCAGCAGATATCACTGCCAACATGTGTCATCTCAAGAGCTTCGATCAAAGATTAAGTGCCTTTTTTAATCAGTACAGGAAAAGCTGGGATTGTGTTGTTTGATATAAACACAGTTTATAATGTGAATCGATTTTTATTTCCTCAATTGTTCTAGTACAATGAAAAGCTGATGACAGCAGGTAATGTTTACAAACTTTTTTAATGACTTAAATTTGATATTTTTTATGATGTGAACTTAAGCTCTCATGTAGCACCATCCTGAAGTCTGTCATGTGTCTTAACGAAGTACTATAATGTTGTGCACTTAGTAATACTACAATAAGCAATGCTGTGATTACACTTGGGCATTTTGGTTGGACATTTTCTCAAATATTTTCCTACCAATAAGACTCCAAAGTTGTTTTATCCTACTGTTAGATGTGTGTTTTGTTGTGTCGTTTGTGAAGCCTTCAGTTATCTTTGGAATGTTTTCACATAAACCATGGGAGTTCTGTGATTTAGGTACTTTGATGTAAATGAGCACTGAACCCTTCATGTTTTTATAGATCTGTGCAACCTAAATCTAGTTGTATCATTATACCATGTGATGCCTTTACTCCAGTGTTAGTAGATATATTTATAATCTTTAAGGTGCTTTTACCCAAATAATTTAGAAAAAGCCCTAGGGGCTGTTTGCAATATCATTGTGAACACTGTCAGTTTGTATTGTGTGTTAGAAACCTCCCAGGTATCCTCATCCTGAAGGACAATCTTTGTTTATGCATACATCCGTGTGAAACGTGTTCAACAACTTGTGTGTGTAAGTTAATCTATTCGGTGTCATTTTTGAAAAACTATTTGTATTGTATGAAAAAGTGGCTCAACAAACTAGAATGTTTTTTGATAAAACTCATTGAATTCTCATAATCCTGCAAATAATCAAATGATTAAACATTTTCTACTGAATTTGACTCTACTGTCCATTTACTGTTCTCCTGGTTATAATAAGGTGAATAATGCACACATGAACAACAGGTGGAGTAACATGGAGAAACATAACGTTTTGTAAAGCAGTGAGTAGTTGGAAGACTTTTATTTAAAAGTTTAGTTATAAAAATGGCCTTCCAGTCTTCACTGTAGGAAGAACGATGCTTTGAAAACGCTGAGTTGACAAGTGTTACATCAGCACAGCAGGATGTAATCACCCATCCGCTTCACACCCATCACAAGCAGCTCTGAATGAACATTACATTACAATAACTGGGGGAAAAAGCGACACATTAATTTCTGCTTATTTTGTAAGACAACAATCCTCAGTTCCCTGAGTAAGTAACAAAGAATATCCCAGTAGACATGCTGCTATAAAAACAACTACTATTGGATTTGCTGAAGGGGAGATTCTCTATAAAGTACATTAATCTATGGTGCAAGCACTACTATGTGATCAAAGTATGATTATTTAAATGTAATTTGTGCAATTTACTACAGTAGCAAGGAAACCAATAAAGGATGTTGTGAACCTAAAGATTATCATTCATTATGAATGAAAGCAGTGTGAGTTAGTGAGTCTGTTAAAGCTGCATTCAGGGTTTTTATGGAGCACATTTGAGCTTTATTTTTGCTGTTGCAACTAGATGGAACATCTCTGTTTAGGGGACTATTTTTAAACTCTTGTTATAGTAAACTATAGCATGCAGATCTAAGGCCTGTATGCAAGCATACAGCCAACACTTTTATTTAAAACTTAGAAAATTCAGTTAAAATGGTATGCCCTTAGTTTGTTGCAGTGCATTCAGGAATACAGCTATATACAATGTTATTTGTACAAAACAATGCCAATGCCCGTCCCTGGCTTCTTATAAACAAAGTGTACAAGTAGTTACATCTTGCATCAGCCCAGAGGCCCAGAATCCAATATTGATTTGTTTGTGAAACGTTACAGCATCGTCAAAAAGGAGCCAACACAGCGATCCAGTGTCTTCAGACAGTGTAGGCTCCATCTGTCACGTTAAAGTGTCTCTCAGGAGCAAAAGCAGGCTTCAGTGTCGTCCTCAGGAAAGTGTGTCTCCAACAGACACGGTCCTTTCCCGTGTGTGTGTGTGTGTGTGTGTGTGTGTGTGTGTGTGTGTGTGTGTGTGTGTGTGTGTGTGTGTGTATATATACGTGTGTCCATACTGAGATAGCTGCTCAGTGTCCCAGCACCATTAGTGTCCATAGTGAAGTCTCCAGTCCTTCAGATGTGATTCAGTCATTGAGAGCCTTTGTCAGTCAGCCAAGAAATGTCTCCAGTCCTGCAAACCATCAAAGCAACCGTCAGACACACACACACACACACACACACACACACACACACACACACACACACACACACACACACACACACACACACACACACACACACACACACACACGTTTATCAAGTCCCTACATATGATCAATCAGGTAACATTTGAAATAGAACATGCTCGTATTTGTCCGTACTTGCCAAGCCTTGGAAAACATCCTTCACATTTTGAGTTTGCATTATTAGAAATGAAAGACACAGGAGATATGAGGAACACTACAGTCATATTAGACCAAAAACACAGCGACAAACAGACAGAAATATATGCAAAACATTAAAGTAATGCTGCACCTTGATTAAGTGTGGTGTCACTTATTGTTACAGGTCAGGTTTGCAAATAATATACACATTTAATAACAAATGAATAAAGTTCCTTTAAAAGTCACAATAATAATAGGCACACAGAGACTGAAGTGGTTCATTTTCAAATTCAATTTAGTTTAATCCTTCCTCCCAAATTTAGAATTTATAAGCATTATGTTAATATATGTTTAAATATTTCAACTCACTTTTATGCAGTTCTAAATATTAGTTAGCTGGTATTGGTTGACAATTGTTGACAGAAACATTAATGAACACTTTAAAAGGTTGTTCATATATGTAACTGACAGTGTTATAAAGTGGTTATTGTTTTAACAGCAATTCCTTCAGATTATAAGCTTTATACAACTGTGTACTAAGTACAGCATTTCCTATTTGAGATAAAGTAGTGGTTAACTAATATATATAGTGTCAAAACTCTGTCTACACTACTTTCCCTATGATAACTTGTATAGTACTTATGACAGCTTGTGTTGTTTTTCTGCAGTACTGAAGTAGCCATAGTTTTTATAATACTTTTCATGTGATTGAAGTCACAAGCTCTGCGACTCCATGTGTGTTCCTGTCTGAGTGATAACATTTGTCATGTTTTTCTTCACAGTGAAACCTGAGAAACCTAAATAACATGACAGCTATTGTAACCGGCAACAGATTTAAGTCTTGAAAGGAGACTCACTCCACATCTCGTTTCTTAATCGTCTTTCCGGATCCTAAGACCTCTGCCACTCGGGATACAATGGGATCATAGTTCATGCTGGCAACAGCAACCACCTCCTCACTCCTGTAGATGGACCAGGGGAGGAAAACAATAAGAAAATAGATGTGGAATCACAATTAAAGACTAAAGAATCTTACGCACCTGGTGTAAAACGCCACAAATCTCAGTTCATCCAGATCCCCTTGTATAATGACATCATCGAATCCTTCACCATACCCTTAAAAATTAAAAATACATATGTATGTGTCTGTCGTCAACAGCAAAAAGAAAAACAGGTGCAATTCAAACTCTCAGTTTAAGGTCTTAATTTAAATGTTTACAGCTAGATGGCAGTGTGGTTACTACACAGCTATTTTTCAACCTCTGATCTCTTACAACATGTCTGACTTATAATACCACTCTTAATACTTAATTATTTACCTGCATAGCGAAGGGTCTTCCCAAACATGGCTGACCAGAAGTAAGGCACAGTTTTGATCTCAGCGGCTCTGCCCATCATGCTGAGAGCCGCTGCCCTTCCTGTCAGCATAGAGAAAGAAACAAGAAACATTTAAAGGCTTGTCTTAAAGAATTCATCATAACAGTGAAGTATTACAGCCTTTGATATGCAGTCAGGAGGACACACTCACCGTGTACATGAGCCATTTGCCAGTGAGGGATGTTCACCTTCTTGTTGTTGCGCGGCGGGAAAGGAAACACCACCACATCTCCTCCAGCGTAGACCCCATCAGCACTTGTCTGCATCATCTGAGAGAAACAGTTTAGAGGAGTAAATTAACATCATGGGACAACGCTTATTCACGAAGACTAGGCTTTTCACGCCATACCTTGTTGACGGTGATGAAGCCCCTGGAGTCCATGTGGATGCCGCCCTGTTTCAGGAAGCCGGTTGCAGGAATACTTCCTGAGACACACAAGAGAACACAGGTTGAATATGCAGCTGCTGTCACACATAAAAAGGGAGTTCTGGCATCTGTTTTATCACTGAGTAGATAATGATAACAGGGTTAAAAAGGGACATATTTCATCCTCTTTGACCTCACCTGCTCCGATGACACACACGTCTGCTCGTAGGACTTTACCACTCTTCAGGGCCACCTCTTTCAGCTGTGTGCACAGGAAAAACAAAATGTCCAGGCCATGTACTGTATATGCATAATGCTACATTAACAGCTTTGACACTTCCTTTCAGGAGTTTACTCTTAATGCCACTAAAAATATTTTCTGACCACTTACTAAGAGTAAGGGGGGGATACAAGACATCAACTTGAACTTTGGAAACTGGCATGGACTATTTTTACTCTTTTTCAGACATTTTTTAGATCAAATGAATAATGAATAATCTAGAAAACAATAAAAAGATATATTAATGATTAAAACAACTCTCAGTTGCAGCCCTAACAGCATGTGATTCCAGCCTGAGAGTTTTGAAGCATTTCAATCAAAATCTTACATTATTTTTGATTGTTAAACTCTTTAAAGTGTTAATTTAGTTGCTCATTTAGTGGTTTTATTTTTTACAGAAATACGTTTGCAGCACCTTTTAAGGAGCTTTAAATCTGACACACACTCATCTTCATCGTGGATTAACCATGAGAGGGTAGTGCTGCTGAGCATCATGTCATGCTGTTTCTCTCACTTTCGGAATACCTGTCCGTGTTGGCCAACCATCTCCGACACCTCGTTCAGCATGTAGAACTTCACCCTGTTTACCTCGAACAGCTGCAGACAAAACACAACACTCTTATTGTGTGAAAACACTAACAGCAAGATGGCTGAATTAAGTAATGCATTAAAACATTTAGGCTCTCTCTTGTGGTTACTGGGGTATTGACTAGACCAGTGGTTCCCAAACGGTGTGCCGCGGCACACTGGTGTGCCGTGAGGCAAGTCCGGGTGTGCCGTGGGATTTTGTGACAACCATACGTTATTATTGCAATATAAAACTACACAAAAATAATAATTTTTTTATTTACTATCAGTACTTTGTAGGTTTATATGTACGTAATCTGCGCGACTTTCGCGTCCACATCTCCACGTGCAGTGCTGCATAAACATGGCTGAGTCAGCGATAACTTTCGAGGGGTGGAGGTATGCCCATTATTTTGAGTTCGTCCGAAGAATAGACAGGAATGTGACGGTGAGGTGCAAACTGTGTCCAGGACAGAAGCTGTTATCCACTGCTGGAAACACCACGTCAAACCTCAACAAACACCTGCAAAGAACACATGCTAAGGTAAAGCTAACACACAAGCTATTTGTTGTTTGTTTATATCACATAGTCTGTTCTTCTTCTCTGTCTTCCGGTTGTTGCCTTTTTTGAATGACAAATACACACTACCGCCGCTTGCTGGTAAGGAAAGTTATTGCCACTCACGCATGCGCAAGTTCGTACGTGCTCGGCGAGTAAAGTAACGAGTTACTTATGTAGATAGTAACGAAGTAGTGTAATATATTACTTTTTTAAGTAATATGTAATATATTACATTTTTTTAGTAACGACCCCATCTCTGGAGTTGGCGTTCTCTACTCTGATTTACATGAAGAACAACAGGAGGTCACGGGACTCACGGCTCTCTGTTGAACAGGACTTGCGAGTGGCCCTCTCCTCAGCCACCAAGGATTAAAAAATTCTGCGCGCCCGACAGGCCCATGTATCTCACTAATTTGTAAGTCGGCAAAATATTTACAATAGCACATGTTTCAATGCTGAATGCTGAAATGTTAATTGTGTGACCTGTCTGGTTTAAATGAGTGTGTTGCTGCTTTGATGAAGCCTAATTTGATAAAGTTTCAAATTAATTTCTGAAATATTTCGTTAATAAATATTTCATGAGTAATATAGTTGTCTTTGTCACATTTTATTTGGCATTAGTAAATAATTATGCACATTTACAGATATTTTACATGATATGAGTGATAACACGTGTTATAAGGGCTATTTTGCACAATAGGTGTGCCTTGAGATTTGTACTTGTCCTTTGGTGTGCCTTGGGCACAAAAAGTTTGGGAACCACTGGACTAGACTAATCACATGCATGTGATTTGCATTTAAACTAGTGAGATGTTTTCCCTTCCCTAAGAGAATAACTATGGGTTTGCTAAGGTGCTCTTTGATGAGTTCCTACCTTCATTATGGCTTTCCCTACTTTCTCCCCGAGAGCATGTTTAAAGGGAACTGTCTCGATCCCGATGACAGAGACCGAGTGAGCTTTGTCAGTGAGAGCTGCAGCCACCTCCATACCTGCAAATACAACACATAAACGGTACACAGTTCATACAGAAGAATCGGAGGGATGAAAACCTCTTTAATGGTCACACATGCAGAGCACACAGCACACACAGTGACATGTGTTCTCTGCATTTAACCCATCCTAGTACCAGGAGTCTAGTAGTAGGAGCAGTGGGCAGCTATTGTACAGTGCCCGGGGAGCTCTGTCTCTGGTTGGCTGTTCACACATGTGATTAATCATGTGATAAGGTAAAAGGTTACTTCTACACTTGACTGTAAGTCGAAACAAGTCACTTAATAAATGTGTTTTACTCTGATTTACTTAATTTTGACCACCTACCACCTACTAATTTTGACCACCTACTAATTTTGTTATTATTATTTTCCCGTGAATCTATCACAGTCAGCAAACATTTGAAGATTGTGTATTTTTCTCACCGACAAACGATGTCCCCACAATCACAGCGTTCTTGTTGTTGGCCAGCCTCGCTATGCTGTTGGCGTCATCAGGCGTCCTGAGGTGGAACACGTTCTCGACATCCTGTCCTTTGTAGATCATTGTTTTGGGTCTTTGGAAGCAATCAGCTGTCAGTTTTTTTATTTATAATCTCAGCTGCTTAATTATGATGTGAAATAGCAGTTTGTTTCTTACTTGCTTCCTGTAGCAATAAAGAGTTTCTTGTACTCCATCCTCAAGCCATCTTCAAAGATCACAGATCGTGTTTTCAGGTCTATCGCCACAGCCTAAAGAAAACATGGCATGGTAATGCAGGTTATTGTGTTGGATTTGTGCTAAAAATGCCAAAGATCGATTTAGATGTTACAAACTAATATATTGGTCATCCTATCTCACCTCTTTCTCTGTGAGCAGTTCAATGTCATGATCTTGTAGGAATTCCACAGAGCGCAATCTCAGCTGCTCTGCTGTGCTTTCTAAAGACTAAGGGTCAGCAAGTTAGTTAATCAATCAAATCATTGAATTAAATTAAACAAAATTCAAGAAGAAATCTTTCCATAAGAAATCTTTCCAAAAGGTTTACATCGGTTATCAGCCAATTAACAACATTTATCTTTAATCTCCTGCACGGCAATGAAACATTGAACTGTTGTTGTGTAGCTGTTCCCCAGAGAGCTTCTGTTTCCTCTACAGCACCTCTGCAGTCTGTCACGCAACATTTTGGCTCCAATTATGTCACGTTTTATGTGTTCAAGGTCTGTGTACAAACCTTACTCAGTTTAGGCCTGTCATATGGAGGATGTCTGTCCATGGTGCACATGACGATGCGGTCGGTGAAGCCCTCTTGCCTTAGTGTCTCTGCACATACCAGAGCTGCTGGGCCTGCGGATAAGGTAACCATAAAAGAGGAGGATAATATTGAAAAACAGACATTGAAGGAAGATGCTGCTGATAACAGTCTAAAAGAGCTTGATTTGTTGTACGCGGGAGAAAAACACACTGACCTGAGCCAATGATGAGAACATGGCTGAAACCCGTGTTGGAGTTAATGACTGCTGAGCATCGGGCCATCGGCTTTGACCTTTTCTGTGACTGAAGAGCCTGAAAATGTATTTAAAAAGAACTCAGATCAGTCAGGTGACCAACGTCGAATTCTGCATAAATTCTCTTCATCCTTTATCTTGTTACCTGCTTGTTTGCACGAATGATCACCTTGTCCTTTTCAACTCTGACCTGAAGCAAACAAACATGAGTGATGTGTACACTTGTTTATGGTGCTCAGAGACATGATAAGGCAGAGAATGTGTAAAGAGACGGCACCGGCGGGGAAGGTCACCTGGAAGATCGGCAGGCTGTCCAGCCCAGGGAAATCCTCGAGGTCTCCTGTTGCGATGTTGAAACATGCACCGTGCCACGGACAGCGCACATGCCCTTTTGACAACACACCTGCAAGGGAAGTCAAGCTTATAACAAAGAAATTGTTGTTAAAATCATACCCGAAAAAAATATATATAACTCACCTTTGACCAGAGGTGCTCCGTAGTGTGGACACTTGTGGGCGATGGCAGAGAACTCCCCATGTTCTTTGATCAACAAAGCTCTGCCACTTCCCAAATCCACCTCTCGCATCCTGCCACACACACACAAAAAGTTGCACCTTGTTATTTTAAGGAAATACATACCCCTTTTGAAAGTTGTAAAAAAACGACACATAAAAAGATGCATCACTATTTAAACATAGCAAGGACACATCAGGAGCCAACTTTGTCCCCACCTCTTTGCATTAGGATAATTTCTTTTTCACTTTGATTAACATTTGTGTCATTAACATCATAGTACACAACAGCTTCTCTACGTCTGTGTTTTGGTTGTAAACAAAAAAGAGCTGTTGTATAATTTTCTTACTGTCCGTTTTCCAGATCTTTAACATGACAGACGGAGGCCTCCACATAGTCCCGTGGTTTGTGGTAGAGGGGGAGCGGGGTGGAGTCATCATCAGAGCCGTGTCCCAGGGCCCCGTTGGGTCTGGAGTCGGCAAAGGGACTCGCTTTGCCGTTTGGTGACAGCCCATCCACCTCTTTTTCTTTTTCCAGGAGAGAGAGTTCCACTTTGACTTCAACTGCACACACACACATCGACTATTTTAGAAAATGCATGATTAAACACATGTAGCACATTCACACTGATCACAGTAAATTAGACAAACACGGTACAATCCATCACCAAATTACCCTTTTGACGTACAACCAAAAGGACTGCTTGATATTCTGAGCACATCTTAATTTCCTTGAACTTCAGAAAACAAAGTTTGCAGTGTTGAATAGAGCAATGGAAAGAAATGGAAAGATCTCTGACTGCATGGCTCAATCTTTGCGGGTGTTCCAGAGAGAGGAAGGATAATATCATTCTCTGTTGATCTGTTTACTCTTATTCGATTACCTGGAAAGACCCTACTTGTACATCAGGATTCTCTTCCTCCACTTCAGTTCGTCCTTCAAACCGTTCATTGCCAACATGCTTGTGTCCAAATTCCAGTCTGGGCCTGAACACAGCTATTTGGTACTGAACTCTGGATTTTCTGTCAAAACTGTGCCCAAAGTGTCAGGTTAGGAAAGCATACATCCTCCAACCTCACCCAGAAATATGGTGTTCTGCAGGGCTGTGTGCTTAGCCCACTCCTGTTTGCCCTCTTCACCCATGAATGTGAACCTATCCACGCAACAAATAACATTATAAAATGTGCAAACAACACGCCAGTCATGTATCTAATCTATAACAGTGATAGGTCAGAGATAACTCACCCTGCCCACCTTTCAAATCTAGTCACCTCTGGCAAACGATACAGGACAATACACGTACACGACTGAAGAATGGCTTCCTCCCCAACCTAATGCCATCAACTGTTCAACATTAAATAGACATGTATCTAAGTAATATACTCATATTGGCATTACCAATATTACCCGTGCATTGAAGTATTGTTCTTGTGTACCTGACCTGTTAATCTATTTCCATCCTTAACCTTTGCTTTGGAAGAGGAATTTGCGTTTCAGCGAGGAGAGACGTCAACAACTTTGGGACAAATTGAGAGCGACATCTCCACAACTGAAACAAATGACTGCAGGAAGCATGCTGAAGGGAGATGTGAGTAAGGGAGAAACTTGCCTCCTTTATTTTATTTTCCCTTTTACCATCTAGTGAGTATAAGGCTATTTTTACAAAGCCGAAGATATGACGCAGAAAAACCTTGAAAGGGAAGAGACAGGTAACACTGCCACTAATTTCGAAAACAAATCATTCACTTCTGAATCAGTCTATATCTAAATATAAATAAGTAAGTTCCAAAACATACTTTGACAGGATTACAATGCCTTAAATCAGTGGTTCTCAAAGTGGGGGGCGCGCGAGAGACCAGGAAGAAAAATGGTTATAAAAAATATATATATTAAAAAAAAATATCATAATTTGAAAAATTATTGATTCGAAAATAATATGATGCAGTACAGTACTATTACGTCTGGGTCTCTGTGTTTCATTAAAGCTCGGCTCTGTGTGTGTGTGGAACGAGCCATTTTGTGTGCGCGAGCGAGAGAGAGAGAGCGCACCGGTACCGGAGATCGTTGTTGTTAGCTTCTGGTGCTAGCGAGCTACGCTAACGGATATAAGGAGTTTTTTCAACAACAAAGTGGAGGAGAGTCCTCTCCTGTCAGACTGAGAGACTCAGTGAGCCAAGGACTCTCTCAGTGTTATCTCAGTGGGTCTCAAACGTTTTGATCACCATTAATGTAAACTATTATTTCCGAGGCACACATTTATATGATCATTATAGTTATAAAAAAATAAGAGAATAAAAGAAAAACAGCTATGAAATACTATATGACAGTAAAACAAGAATAAAGTTTAAAAGGGTGATTTGTAAAATATCCATAAAGAAAAAGTAAATCTGTTTACAGTTCTGTTTCAAATGGGTGTTGAGAGATGTATCCATAGATCTCTTCATTTTGCTCTCAAAGTGCACCAGATTGATGCATTTAACTTCAATATTTAAAGAAAATCGTCCCGGGGGAGCATGCCCCCGGACCCCCCTATGTAAGGTCCACACACCACCTATGAAAATAGCACTTGACCCCTGCTTACACATATATGCCGTGAGCTGATTATTGAGCCTTCATTGTAACAGTTGCGGGAACACTGTGTGTATGCGTGTGGGGAGTGTTGCAGTAGAAAGTTCCACTGTAGCGCCCGGGACATTAATGGGAAACCCTAAATGTTTGAGCACCCTCTATTATTATTACATTACATTGCATTTAGCTGACGCTTTTATCCAAAGCGACTTACAATAAGTGCGTTCAACCAACAAAATACAACTTGAAGAAAACAGAATCATATAAGTACATCAGGCTTCATAGAGCAAAAACATTTCAAGCGCTACTCAACTGGCTTTAGATAAGCCAGTCCTTTATTAGTATAAAAGTGCTTTGTTAATAGTTCTATCGCTCGTTCTATGAAACGTCAAGCTACCCCACAGCACCCCCAAAAGAAATCTCTGGCGCCGCCACTGAGCCTGACTTGTGTTGGGGGGGCCCGACTTTTTTTTTTCTCCCAAGGGGGGGCCTGACAGAAAAAGTTTGAGAACCACTGCCTTAAATAATGATATTTCCATAATTAAAGTGAAATAAACAACCCAGCAGTTTTTGTCGTTCTTATTTTGTTCTTCCTGAAAACAGGCTATAACAGAGTAATTTTGTTGGGAGATATTGTCCTTTGAAGACATATGATGCACTGCTTGATTGAGCTTGATTTATGTTTCTTAACATTAAACAACGGTTGTGTAATTCCCTTTTCACTGCAGCAGGCTGTATCTGTTCGGCTGGAAAAATGTGCTGATCATCCGGTTCTTGCACAGTAATCTGGCAGGAATTTTATCCTGCTGAGCAAGCCTTAATTAAAATCAATGGAAAATCGTAATAGTGGGTGCAATTGCAGAGAAAAGAAAGAGAAAGCTTTCCACAGCTGAAGAGAACCTCTGGATGCTGCTGGATCTGATGCTAAATGAAACATCGCCACACTGATGCTGCAGTTCCGCAGTTATAAAAAGTTCCCTGATGTGGAACATGTATCAAAATATGTTCTGTAAATTGTAATATTCATGTCTCTGAATGTTATCCTCCTGACCAAAGATGCCACAGAGAGCATTTAAATTCCTCCCACACAAAACACTTTGGTGCAAGCAGAGGAGGCAGGATGCATGTATAACAGGGTTTGGAGGCGGGATAGCTGGTTCCTAGAGGAAAACATTACGCTATTCATATACATATTTCAAAATGAACACTTTACAATATTACGCAATCTTGTAAAACAACAGCACAAAGCACTTCCATGGAGGGAATTTCAGCCCCTTAAGAGTCCATTTAAACAATAATTCATCATAACAACTTGTTGTGTTGCAGAACATCAGACTGTAAGATGCTGCTCTTATTTTGTCCTCCCCCTGTAGGGGAGCGGACTGTTAGAAACACCTTTTTTCAGTCGTTTTTCAGCACCTGAACAAGCTTTAATGGTGCTTGTTTGCCGAACGTTTCCTTTCAAAGTCCAGTAACCTGCCTCTGATTGAGATAGGGGAACATGTCCGTTACCTGGTTTGGGTTTGGAGAAGCATCCTCCCATGGTGGGCCCAGGAGTGAGGGACACCCAGGGGGAGGGAGGTGCGTCAGATCCTCGGGCTGGGCTGCTTGGTTGGGAAGTAACGATAACACGGAGCTGTGTGTAAGAGATCCTGCAGGTCCAGACTGGCCATCGCACAGATCAGCTGCTCCTCATAATCTGCACGAACAGAGGGAAACACATGAAAACACTCAGACGGATCAGATGTGATGCTTTGAAAATAAATAACAGGTCTTTTTGCTGAATTTACTTTTTGACTGCTTCAAGTTTCAAATTGTAGCTTTTAATTTACAATTTTGTCTTTCAAATTATCAAAACATTTGGCCCCATTTTGTCTCGTTTCATAGTGACTGATTGTGTTTGTGTAGTTTATTACAGAAAGTGATTGTAAAGTGTCAAGATTAGACCAGATCAGAGAGTAACCGTTAAATATTAACAGCTCTCTAACACCTATTAACTTTCTTGTCACACTGCACTCTTAAAGGCAAGAAGGGGCCCCTTGAGTTTTAAAATCCCCCTTGTTGTGTTGCCACGTTGCCCTTACATTTCTGCTAGCTCTGGTATTTCCCCCACACATACAGTAGTTAGTCACAGAGCGCTGGCTGCTATGAATCTGAGTGGATGGCAGGTGAATCGCTCAACCCGGTGCAATCCATCACCAAATTATCCTTTTGAGGTACAACCAAAGGACTGCTTGATATTCTGAGCACATCTTAATGTCCTTGAACTTCAGGGGAAAAAAAGTGTGCAGTGTTGAATAGAGCACTGGAAAGAAATGGAAAAGATCTCCGACTGCATGGCTCAAACTCTGCAGCTGAGAGTGAGTTATATTGTATTTGTTTGCAGGGTGAAAGTACTGTACTAAAGTATAATACTAAGGTAATTGCAATATTTTCATTAAAAAAACCTATTACTGAACTCAATTTATTTGATGGCTATAGTTACAAGACACTTAAGACCTATTACTAAAAACAATGTGTAGTTTGGGCCCCTTATGGTATTCCAGAAATCTATATTTTCTCTCCTTCACCTCTAATTAATCATCACATGACCCCTCAGAGTGATTGACACTGGACCTAAATACCTGACTGTATCTTATAACTAGCTCCACCTGCTACAACAGTAAAACTGATGCATTCGGTATCATCCAAACAATAATCTTGAACAGAAATATATATAGTCAGAGGGCTATTTTTATTTAGAACAAATGCTTTTGCTTTTGATACTTTTAGTATGTGTGGCTGCTTAACACCATTGCACTTTGAATGAAGTAGAATTTTGATCCATTGTTGTGTTTGTACTTTTTACATTACATGTTACTTATAACATATTTATTTCAGAAACACTTTTTGTTATATTCCATGGAATGCTCTTAACATCCCGATAGCAATGAATACATTAAATGCTTTGACAATGAATACATGCAAAAATGTCATCTGTGGAAGCCGTAGCGCTTTAAAAAGCACGACCAATCATTTTAGCAGGCCCGGCTAAAATAACTGGATGGCCTGTCAGCCTTCCATCTGTGCACAAACTTATCTCGTGCCCTCATTGGTCGAGCTGGTTTCTCCAAAATTACCTACTCCACCTTTAAGTGAAGTATTTTACAACGTCTTCAATGTTTGTTTGATACATATTTCCCGATACAAGTTGTTGTTGGAAGTAATGTTAAGTAAAACAAAACTACAGCTGATGATCATTTTTGGCCCTAAAATCAAGTCAGATTTTCCAAATTGTGATTTCATGTCTTTTTAGTCTTAATTCAAGCGCTAAGCATCCAAATATCTGAGCCAAGCCCTGACAATATCCTGCATTAAGTTGACAGCTGTGCCTAAACAGCAGAGCCTTTGATGTTGTGTGTTTCCCTGAACACACAGAGCAACATATTAAAACTCCACTCTCACATGTTGCCACTTTAATAATTTGTCACCACTTAAAATGTGATGAACAACCAATTGGATTGGAAAGAGCTGCCATCATGGAGTTCCAACAAGCCACCAAGATATTTTGTGAGAAACTAAAGTAGGTTAAGCAGATTTGGTCCCCACAACATATGACGCAGATCCCGCTCTCTCACTGTTGGGCCTGTCCCCATGCAGTGCTAATAATCCTGCCTGCAAACAAGCTGTCAGTTTCACTCACTTCCCTACAAATGTAATACCTGTTACTGGAATGCTAGAGGGGAGAATTAGCAAAAGGCGACGCCTGGTTGGTGGCGGGAGGTCGATTTATAAACTGGGGTTGAAAAAAAGCAGGAATGTTGAGCAGCAAAGCACCCACCATCATTCATAACTGGCCTAAACCTTCACCAAATGCATTCTGCAACAGCAAACTGTGATTTCATTGAGGAACGTGGTCAACAATGATTAACATCAACTGAATTAAAGAAGAGCTGCTGGTTCAGTGGCTCATTCACCTCCAAACTGGTCTCTGTTTTATTCAAACACTCGCTTGACAGGTATGTTGGCCAGCAGTTAACGATTAGGTGTCTCTGATCCTCAGCTGATAAAGGACAACAATCTACCTGCGCTCTTAATATTTTACCACACCTCTTTACCCCCTTCATTAGCAGGGGGGGTTTGTGAAAGACAAAGTTATCATTCCCTGATTGTGTAAAAGTCAACGGGTGAACAAAAGTTATCTCTCACCACGGTCTTAGTGGTTATCTATTTGTTTGTCAGCTTATGGAACATACAAGCGGTGAAGTGTTTACTTTTTAAGTAAATTGAGTCACCAGATTTTCTCCCCAAAGTGCCAAGACGTTTTTGATTTATTTCTATTTACTCCATTGCCTACGTGTCCTAATTATAAAAGAATAGAGTGGATTACAGTTAATCACAATCCCCATTAAGAAGCTCTGGTCATTTTCGACCACGTTTCTCCAAATGCTTGTACTGTTTGTGTATTGTAAAATTGGTAGTTGTTATTGCCATTTCAGAGACAGGAGAGCTGACAGCAGATTAATAAAGTCCCAAACAGTATCTAAAGTGTGCTTTCTGTCTGCATACACAATACAAAAAAACGTTTGGTGTTTTGTATAATATAAATATGCCACGTGGATCTAGAAAACAAAGATTAGACAGCATTCTTTCAGCATTGTTTACTGTCAAAGCGGTTCAATGAGGATAATTAGTTTGCATTACTCTCAATTTTTTCTTTCAAAGTTGACCCCCACTTTACACTGTGTATATTATATATTGTTGTGTAAAGCTAAAGCGTGTGAACAATGCATGGCACCGCAGTAGTCTATCAGGTCATCTTCTGCTGCTTTGAGCGATAACCTCTCCATGATGTCATGGAAAACTAGAATTGTGGTTTTCAGAGGGGTGTACACCCCCACAGAGGAGCTGTGTTTCCATAAAGCAATTCTGCTATTGACCGGTTTCTCAGCATGCACACAAAAACTAAAACATACACATAATCAATAAAAAACATAAAATAATGTAAGTTTTGAAGTGTTATATTGGATTCTCATCCAGTTTTCTAAATAGTTATTGATGTACTAACTATTAAAACAGCCCTGATGTACTGATCCAACAAAAATGAATATAGTTTGTGTTTCTGGTTTCAGTTTTAATACTGCACCACTCCATGGTTCTCCAAGTAAGATCTGGTCAGTACTGTATGTACCCATGGTGCACAAATGCAGGCAGAATAAGTCTGACACTACACAGAGCATCACACAAACATATAATGATGCGAACTAATACAACAGAGCTATATTTCCCTGACTCATAACAAGAAATGAAGCTTACCAGTGTGCATGGAGCAGGTGCAGTGATCCAGTCAAACTCCCCGGTGCTCAGCTTCCCTTGTGGAGCACGGTAGCATATTAGCACATGAGTCTCCTAACAATCCTGTCCACTGGAGTATTCCCAGTCTGTGCGTCCCTCTGTACCCTCCTCTGCCTCTTGATGCAGCAGAGACTGAAGTGAGTGTGTGTGAGTGTATGAGTGTGTGTGTGCCCCTGGCAGAGCCTCCCTCCAGAAGCAGACTGAGCAGACCGATCGTGGGAGTTTCTCTCTTTCTCTGGCCGAGCCTGTAAATGCAGCACGGAGGACCTCTGCCAGTTTCTCAGCTGTATGCAGTATTGATGGAGTTGCTGAGGGGATGCTCACACAGCATGAATTCTCACCGTCCTCCTCACCCCTCACACACGCACACACACGCACACACACACACACACACACACACACACACACACACACACACACACACACACGCACACACACACACACACACACACACACACACACACACACACACACATACACACACTCTGTCCTAGAGGCTGCCTGCTTTTCTGCCCTTTTCAGCCTCGTCCTCAGGTGTCAAAGACCTGACTTGCCAGTTAAGCTTGATCAAAGACCAGCTCCCCCCTCTCACACACACACACACACACACACACACACACACACACACACACACACACACACACACACACACACACACACACACACACACACACACACACTTAACTGCACTGCCTAGTTGGACTGCCCACTTATCATACTGTCTATGCATGCATTGTGTGCTACTGTTAAAACTTACTAGAGTGATATTTACTCTATGCTGCCAGGAGACATACAAAGTGCAGATTGCTGCAAACTATCAAACACTCTTATAGTACGTGTGCTACTTTTCTTTCAGTGTGCAACAATGGAAGAAAGTGCAGTTGGTGCAGTAAGTCCCAGTTTCAGTCAGGGGGGGGTAGGTGGAGCAGGATTAAAAAGGTATACTGAGTATATTTCCATTCCTTATACTCTCACTGTGGGAGTTAATGTACCTCCCTTTCAAATAACTGCAGCGACAAGGTCATTCACCTGAAGGTATCAGATCCATGTCTGTGGAAATTACAGCAGTATGACACAGGGTCATGATTTGGATGCAGCATTAGCAACCCTAATCGTTTTTAAATTGTTGTTCAAATATTTGTTTTAAACAATAGACATTTATCAGATGTATCCAAGCTACATGGAGTGGTTGTATTTCTACAGTGTGCT